AGATATTAGCTTTGGTGAGGGCGTCGAGAACGAGAGCTTTCTCGAACAAAATATGACGGGGCAAGTTAGCTGAAGTAGGCAAATGTTAAACATGATGATGTTGCCCAAGCCTCAGGTAAAATCACTAAATTTAGCTTTCCCTGATGCTTATTGGGCAGTCAAAGTTTCTGCTGGGGCAGTTTTGTCGACAAATGTTCAATTTTTCACCCGCACAAGTTGGTGATAAACATCTCGGGGGCCGCTGATGCATTTGTTCTGAGCATTTCTTTACACACTGGTATATTCCAGTGTTTTTATGGCAACAGAGCGACTTAAAACCTCCAAATAAAGCACGGTTTGTCAACTGCTTCCTTCATGAAATAGGAGACGCTCACAGTTCAAGCTCGCGTTTGATTCCGTTGCCCGCGGGACGCCATTTCTATCAGAAAATCTACTTTTTTTCCTTTCAGTTCTGCGACACATCGTAGCAGACAAACTTTCGTCATCTGCTCCAGCACCTTGCCGGCCTAGCCAGAGCGAGGCACGACGGGATTGCATTTTGGCGCAATCTCGATTTTCTCAGTGCAGCGAGTGCATGCACGCGTGGGGTGTCAGCAATGAAACGAACTCGGAGAGTGCAACCACTTGTGGAGTGCCGGCTGAAACGAACCCGCTCCACGCTGCGAGTGCCGTGAAACGAACTCACTGATACTTCTTCAGTGCAAGCCGGCTGAGACCTCAATGACCAAAATCGGGCTCTCGGTGAGATGGAATGGCAAACTGAGAATGATTTCATGACCAGGGGCCAAACAAATAACCGGTGCATTGTATGGTGAGAGTATTAGCACCGAGAAGTTTGGGAGGCGACCTTTTACAGCGAGCCGGGGTGACGTCCTGCTCAGGACAAAATTTACCCCCTCACTCGCCCTACAAAGGCCGAGACGGCGTTAGCTGTCGGCATATTACTTTCGGTTTTTTTTTTTTTTTTTTTTTGTGCGCATTTTACGTAGGAAATGCGAATTATTATATGCGGCCTTATTGAGGTATGGTCTGTAGCTGCAGGCGAAACTTCAACCAACATTCCGAGCATGGTTTCCAGGGCAGACAGTGCATGAATCACAGATGGTATATGAAAAGGAAGAACTGCCACCACACTTGCAGGAGCATTGCAGTATATTTACATCTCGCACAATCAACGCTGCTGACGATTTGAATAAATTAAGAGGTTTTTTTTCAACTTTGTTTCTAAACAAAAACGTCTCAGCGAAAAAGCTGCACTCTGCTCGAGCAACATGTTAAATATATTCTGGGCCATGGGGAGAAAAATACAAGTGAGACCGCCCAAAGGCCTTTGACTTAAATGCCATTTGTATGCCCGCAAAGCGGGGTCTGATGTTCTCCTAAAGCGCGAGACAAATGGACGGCAGAATCGTCCGATCCGACAGTCCGAACGCCGCTCCGAATTGAGACACACGCACACGCTTCCGACCTTGCAAGCGACACAACAATCCGTTCGGCTCCGCCCAGGAGATCCAACTTCCAAGCACTCCAACGGAGGTCCGCGTTCATAGATCTCTGGTCCCAGATTGATGCTTTAGCTCGTACGAACGAAGCTAGGAGCTCGTTCTTGTTAGCGCGTGCATTCTTAGCCGGGGCCATCTTTCTCGAATGGATCAGCGGGATCTACGCGTCTGGCTTCCCGTCACCCGTCCCGTTTTCTTATTCGTCTCGACAGACCAAGTATGTCATCATGACGTTCGTGCTAGCTGTGCTGTCATTGGCTGGATGCATCCGACAATCTGTCCGCCGTGCGAAACTATCTGGCGCGTTTGACGCATGTCGGATCGCCGATCTGACGCCTGAAGCGACCAAATTTTTCTGATCAGGCAGTCATACTGTCGGATCGGACGTCGGATCGGATGGATTTTTCGCGCATGTGTCTCGTGCTTAACTCATGAATCTGCAAAGAACAGAATTTCAGTGTCTGAAACACTTACACCGCCGCTTCCACAACCCCTTGCACAACCGCCTTATATCGTGTGGAGGGGGCGCGGGGGTTCATCGACGGAGTTGCCTCCACCGATAGCTTTCCATACTTATAACCCAATTATAAGGGTAAACGTGACAAACACGGTTGGAAAAGCTATGAAAATTCTGTCGGCATAAGTCTCACCCAGCGCCTTGTACACTGGGTAAACGAAGCCCCGCTTCTCAACGTGCTTACAGCTCACAACGGCCGATGTTGACGGTGCCTTTCCCATCCTTAGTCTGACTGTCCATGCTCTCTTTAATCTCGAAGTTTTCGGGTGGTAGAATATGATACCAGCTTCTTTTTGGAAATTGCATTGCAGCGCTGAACAGTAGGTAAGCATGATCACAAAACCTCCGATCATGAGGAAACGGGCGCAGGGAAGCCAGCTAGATGCCAGAACGCGAAGCGGAGTCCGTCACCAGACGTCACGGTATACCTCACCCAATCAAGATGTGGCGACCGCAGCGACACTTGTGTTTGCTCTGAAGACTAATAGTACGCCGTGCAAGCAATACCATTGATCTCCACGACAATTTGCTGGATCGCGTGTCTCCGCTTGGTCGTTACAGCTCAGGTGCGGCCACCGGATGGCCACCTTGGGACAAAGATTATCAGTCAACCTTTTGGAGCGTTGCGGAGGCTGGGCGGCAGTAAGCTGAAGACATGTTTTCTGCTCGTTCGTTGTCATTTACCGAAGAAGTTTGTTAAAACCCCGAACGGTGAGAATCGCGTTTTAGAACACGTAGAAATTTTTACGAAAGCTCAGCACCGCAAGAAAAAGGGGCAACTCGTCTAACGCAAGTCTTACCGTTCTGGCGGCATGATCAAAGCTTCCTTGGCATGCCAAAGTGCCGCATCTTTGTCTTCGCACGCTTGAATACCGATCAAGAAAACGCCGTGTGGATTTGTTTCGTGAGTGCAAAGAGCATGAAGATGCATGCGCCTCTGAAGCAGCATTTTATTTTACTCTTACGACTGTATTTGTAACTTGCGGCACTTGCAGTCCAGAAGCGGGCATGATCCAGTGGCGGAAAAGGAGGGGTAGGAGGCTATGACGACGGCGACAGATTGCACACAACCATATGGACGGGCCACGTTTGAAAAACTTCAGATATCGCCGCTTCATACTTTTGCCTTCGAAAACCTACCTTCTTCCACAGCATTGCTCTATTTGTGCTGTCATGTGATCCATTTGAGTAGATTTGGAACATAGCCATGATTAATCCACAATAGCAACCACCGATTTCGTTTCCTATTGATAGCAACTCGCTGGAACAGCTGGGTGATAGAGAAGACGCCTATGTGCGACATACCTTCAAAGCTCTGCCATGGCATCGATTCTTGATAAGTATCCAAACATGAAAAGGCACAGAGACGCAGCAGTTTGGCAGGCCAAGGAAGCTTTGATCACGCCGCAAGACCGGCGAGACTCGACGTTCGACAAGTTGTGCCTTTTTCTTGCGGTGCCGCGCTGTTGCAAAAAATTTTACGAGTTTTCAAAGGAAATTCTTATTGTTTACACATTGCGAGCGTTTGGCGCTCCTTTCACTAAACAGAGGGGAGCGCCGCCGGAGACTGACACTCGAGCGTGCTCTTCGTGCTCCGAGCATTTCTTGGAGCACAAGTGACTTCTTTGCGCTCCGTGATGTCACGTCCACAAACAAGATGGCTGTGCCATTGTTGAGATTGTTGAAACAAAAGGCGTAGCCGGACAGCTGCTCCTTTTCAGTCCATTAGTGGTTAATCCAGCAGGTAAAAACAGTTTGATTTGAAAGCCAAGACAGCAATTAGCATTCCGGAAAAACGTTTGTTCATGTGCCTTGCCTGAGAACAAAGTGATCTATCGAACGAGCGTGCTGATAGCTCGGCGACAGAAAAGTTGCCGAGAAGACAGTGGGACGGCTGCCCTTTTTAAACTGCTTAGTCCAGCTGCAGCGAATAAAGATACTTAGATTGGAAAGCCGAAGCATCAGTTAGCATTGCGGGAAAGGTTTGTTCATGCATCTTGCCTGAAAACAGCTTGCACGGTCAAATATAAACAGCTTGCACGGTCAATAAATAGATCAGCCAAGGTGCCTTTCCCCGCACGTGCTCGAAGCGAGTCTCCAAACCTCTCAGAAATACTTAAACGTTCGTAGAAACTTCATAACGTCGCCGTCTCTTTTACTTTGTACCCTGCCGCTCTACACCGGCTTTAATTAATTTACCACCGAAATAATTTTGGCTTCTCCCACCCGTATCCACGGGATGCCAGGTTCGTCATAACCGTGCGGTTGGAAGGAGCTTGTGCGGCTTGTCAATAGATTCGGTGTGTCGCGCTCCTGTACGCCATGCGCCGTTTAGTTGCTGTGCCTGGAGTATGAAACTCGGAGCGTCAGAGTAGGAGTAAAGGAGTGTGGACTTAAAGGGGAGCTGCAATCATACTTAAGCGTCTACCTCTTTTGCGGTTTCCACGTCTCTTTGGGTTTGGGTAAGCCAGCGGGCACGGAGAGAATAACTAAATATCAGTGAGTCATATTTTAACCGGACGACGCGGAAACCTCCTCCACCTACGAGGGCGACCCGCGTTGCCGAAAGCGCGGAATATGTGACGTCTTTGGTCCTGGGCTTACTACTGGTCAGAGCCGCTAAAAGCATTTTTTTTAGTCGATACAAAATATAAGTGTCGCGAACTGTTTCAATAGTGTATGAAAGTAGTTTTTGTTCAGTATTTTAGATCAGAAAAGAAACAAATGCAGTTCATAAAGTACGGAAACAAGAAATGACCCGGCGACAAACCCGCCACCAAGCGGTGAAAAAAACGGCGCATACAGTAAAACCTCGTTATAACAAAGTTGAAGGAGCGGTCGTAATTATTTCGTTATAACCATTAGTTTGTTATAGCCAATGTCCATTTCTTCCCACTATTAGCAAGCAAGGGGAATTATGATTGCTTTGTCGGCGACGGCTATCTGCAGGTCGGACGCTTACCACATCACTTTGCAGATTCTGACACCCATCATCGGAAGCTGCGTAATCAAGGCCGGCAGCGCTGAACTTGGGCGACCAATCAAGGGCAAGCCAAGAACACGATCAGCAAGTGTCAGCAGTATCGGCCTCGGCAGCGACTGAGACGCCACCAGCACGCTACACGCTACAAAAGAACCAGGCGCGGCATCGACAGGCGCAGTCGGCGACGGGGCTATCTGCAGGTCGGACGCTTACCACATCACTTTGCAGATTCTGACACCCATCATCGGAAGCTGCGTAATCAAGGCCGGCAGCGCTGAACTTGGGCGACCAATCAAGGGCAAGCCAAGAACACGATCAGCAAGTGTCAGCAGTATCGGCCTCGGCAGCGACTGAGACGCCACCAGCACGCTACACGCTACAAAAGAACCAGGCGCGGCATCGACAGGCGCAGTCGGCGACGGGGCTATCTGCAGGTCGGACGCTTACCACATCACTTTGCAGGTAGGAAAATACCATAACCTTCTTTGAAGACCGGAGTCCCTGTCGCCGACTGCTGCCTAGCGTTTATTGAGATGACCAAAGCGATAAATGACGGCGATCTGTGCTTTCACTGCAAAACAACTATCGGCGAGGACGACGATACTCTGAAATGTAATGAATGCCATCTTAGTTACCACCTCGGAACCTGTGCCGGTGTGACTGAGACCGCTCTTCGGGGGAAAAAGCCAGGTTTTGTAGAAACATGGAAATGCCAAACATGTCGGGGGGCAAAGCCGAAAATTCGGAGCAACGCGGGCGATAAACTGTCTAAAGAAGATAAGCAGGGTAAAGAATCGCAGGACGTGCAAAGCCAACTGGCTCATATAATGAGCATGTTGACGGTGCTTGCACCACTGAAAGTCCAGGTTGATGAGCTGGTAACCATGAAAGACACGGTGATGCAGATTGAAAAGTCAGTTCAAAACATGTCTGACCAATACGACGAAGTGTTAAAAAAAATGAAGGAACACGACAGTGAAATCAAGATTCTAAAGAAGAGGGTAAATGAACTGGAAAACGAGCAAAAAAATGACGAAACTGCCCAACTTAAGAGAGAGCTTAATAAGCTGGAGCAATACGGGCGAGCAAATAATCTTGAGGTGCACGGACTCGTTAAAACCTTGAATGAAAACCTGCTGGACAAGCTCAATGAAATCGCTGATCGAATAGAAGTGCCAAAACTGACTAGAGATAGTGTAGAGGCGGTCCACCGTCTTCCTGCCAAATCAAACAAGACGCCCGTGGTAATCGTCCGCTTTATCAACCGAAACGAACGTAACGTGTGGCTTGAAAACAAGCAGAAGCTGAGAACTGGTGCAGGAGCAGAAAACGTTTACTTGCAAGAGAACATGACCGCATCAAACAGGAAGTTGTTCTATGATGCCAGGACGAAGGCCAAAAATCTTGGTTACAAGTTCGCTTGGCACAAGGAGGGATTATCATACGTAAGAAAGAAAGAAGGCGACCCAAGTATCCGAATCGAGCATGACGATGACCTTGTCAAAATCGAATAAGATTAGATCTTCTGTGGCTGTTCGTTGTTTTTTTTTTTTTTTTTTTTTTTTGCAATGGCTAATGACGCTTTTGTACTCCCGCAAAACCTGAAAGGCCACCTTGGTAAAGAATATATCTCAAGTATGACATGCTTTCACCTAAATGTACAGTCGGCCAAAAATAAAGCTGTCGACCTTGAGTTACTTTTTAGTCAATTTGATTTTTTATTCGAGGTTATAATGCTATCTGAGACTTGGTATACGGATGAAGAGGATGTCTTAAGATTGCCTTTGTATCGATCCTTTTACATTAATCGTACAACTAAACGTGGTGGTGGTTTGTCTATCCTAACAAAAGACCCTGCGTGTGAACTTGTTAGCGATTTTAGCTGTATCACTCCTGATTACGAAACGCTATGTCTACGTAGCAATCAAAATATTTATGCTGTCATGTACCGACCACCTAAGGGTGACCTCGAAGTGTTTTTTAAGTTTTTTGAATTATTTTTGTCGTTTGTTAATAAGGAAAAGTGCACAGTTGTTTGCGGCGGAGATTTTAACATTGATATGTCAATAGATACAAATACGAAAAGAACGCTAGACTTGTTAATCAACACAAATGGTTGTACAAACGCTATCACTAGACCTACACGTGTTACATGCCGATCTCAGACACTCATAGATTTGTTTATTTCGAATTACTCAACCGACTGTATAAAAGCTGGTGTCATTGGATGTGCCTTGAGTGACCACCTCCCAGTATTTATCGCTCTAAAAAGTGTTCCGAGAAAAGCCAGTAAATCGCAACGAACAATGATTCAAAAAATAACTCCCGATGAACTTGACCGTTTTCGAGTCGCCATTTCAAACGCAAACTGGGATAGGGTATTACAAGAAAATACTGCCGACGGGGCTTACAATGTATTTATGGAGTTATTTCATGAACTGTATAACGCGTATTTTCCTTTTAAGTCCATTAGAATATCAAAACAGATAAGGAAGCCTTGGATAACACGAGACTTGCTAGGTAAGATTCGTACAAAAAATGTTCTGTATGGTCGGTTCGCCAAATCTAGAGACCAGAATGATCTGAAGCAATTTAAGAAGTACCGCAATGATTTAACCAAGGAATTAAGGCGCGCCAGAGAGAGCTATTATTTTGATGTGTTTAAAGCAGCACAAGGACGTACGGACGCCATGTGGAAAGAGTTAAATTCCCTTCTCAATCGTAAACGACCCTCAAACTCTATCGACAACATCTTTTTCAACGGTACTGAACTTACCGGATGTTCTTTAGCAAATGCCTTTAACGAGCATTTTATCAATATTGCAAGTAATGATGACACTCTATATTCTTCTGCTTTTAACGACAAAAGAAACAATGACTCCATATTTTTAGAGCCGGTGGTCGAACCAGAAGTAATTTCCATAATTTTACAACTAAACAATAGTGGAAGCTGTGACGTGGATGGCATTCAGATAAGACCCGTCAAGTACGTTGTTCACTTGATAGCGCCGGCGTTATCTCATGTTTTTAATCTCTCTTTATCCACGAGCGTATTTCCGAAGAAAATGCAGATAGCTAAGGTGTTAGTATTGCATAAAAAAGGAAGCGTAAACGAAATGGGAAATTATCGGCCTGTTTCTATACTCCCAGTTTTCTCTAAAGCTCTCGAAAAAATCATTTATACTCGAATAATGGCGTTTTCAAACAAACATAACTTAATAAATACCTCACAGTTTGGATTTATGAAAAATAGGTCTACCGAGGCTGCCTTATTATCTATAAAAGAATTTATTCTCCAAAACTTCGAAGAAAGAAGACTGGTTCTCGGTGTGTTTGTCGACTTCTCAAAGGCGTTTGACTGCCTTAATCATAAAATACTTCTAGCAAAATTAGACACTTACGGTTTCCGAGGGCATGCCTTGCAGCTAATAAAGTCATATCTGGAGCATCGATCGCAATACGTCTCTATCAATGGAATCTCCTCTGTTACCAAGCCTATTCACTCTGGTGTACCACAAGGTAGTATATTGGGTCCCTTTCTCTTTAATATATACATAAATGACATAATAAATATAGATTCAGAAGCGAAATTTGTCAATTATGCTGACGACACAAGTATATTTTTCTCTGCAGAAAATACCGACTTATTATTTGATAAGGCGAACCGAATGCTCTCCGGGTTGAATTTGTGGAGAACATATAATTCACTTCAAATAAACACAGAAAAATCAAAAGCAGTGCTTTTTCGCCCTAAAAATAAAATAATCAACACTACGAGAGATCTTAGTTTAGACTCAACCAAGATTGAGATTGTAAATTCCTTCAAAATTCTAGGCGTAATTTTTTCGGATAATATGTCGTGGGATGAGCATGTTAACTACCTTATTACAAAACTGTCTAGAACTGTCGGCATGTTAAACCGCCATCGTTATACCTTACCGATACACGTCAAGTTACTAGTTTATAATTCCTTGTTCTACTCGCACTTAAATTATTGTAATTTAGTTTGGGGTACCACCATTTCAACGAATCTTGAAAGGATACATTTGTTACAAAAAAAAGCAATAAGAGCCATAGCCGATGTCCCATTTCAATCGCATACATCCGACCTATTTAAAAAGTTCCGCATTATCAATGTACACACTTTGTATGCTTACAGGCTCAGTACAAGCCTTAAGATAGAACTAATTAGGAACACAAACTTTCTAGTAACCCTTGGCCGCCTCTCAAAAAATATTATTACTTATCCTACTCGTGGCGCTGAATGTTGGGGGGTGGTCACGCCAAGAACAAATTATGGCACTCAAATGCTGAGGCACAATATTCCTAATTTATTAAATCTTTACGAATCGAAAAACTTGGACTGGAATAAAATGTCAATAGGGGAAATCCGTTCATTATATATTATGGGTGGTCATGATACCTAGTTAAAACACTGTTCTCGTATTTGATTATATTGCTTTATCTGCCATGGTGAATTTTTGCGTGTTGCAACCTCTGTGTGTATGTATGTTTTTTTTTTTTTTTTTTCCTGTTGTGTTCCGTCGCCGTGCACTGTAGGCGGTCAAGGGCTCGTCAAGCTGTGTATGCAGCTTTTTCCCTTGGTCGCCACCATCGAGTGTGATGGAAATAAAATATTATTATTATTATTATTATTGTTATATCCATTAGTTTGTTATATCCCGTTTTGTTATAACACGGTTTTACTGTACTAGAAAGGCGTAGTGGGATGAGGCTCCGACGAACAATGGGCTTAGAAAGGTCCCGGATGTACGCGGTGGCGCTGCGGTCGTATACCGGCTCGAAGATCCGACCGGTTCCGAGCGTTCCCAAGGCTTTCGGCGCGGGCTTGGCTGGCGATTTGACCCTTTGGCAGTATGGCAGCGCGAAGTGGCTCCCGTTCTGAACTGATCTTTACCCCGTGTTTGCCGTCGTTTGTGGCCAATGAAGTGTTATGCCAAATAAGTCTTTAATCGCGCGGCAAATGCAATGCGAGCTGCCCTGGCTGCCCGCTTCATACAGCCTAGTCAACACGTGCTTTAGTGGCACCCTCTCGAGCCGTCGACACTGAGTGCGGCAGCCGTGAGCGCTCGATGAGCTCACTACTTCACGGCCACTCAAACCAGGACCTACGACCTCATGAAGGATGTTATTTTTTGCTTGTTCTTGTAAGTCTACTTTGCCTATAACTTTTAAAATAAAGCGAAATTTGAGAAAAGAAAAGTTTCTTTAAATTACTACGTTCAATGCGCTCAGGTTCGGTCCAAATTAAAAACCAGTCAAAAAGTTATTGCAGGGCCACTTTAACGCTTCCAATGACGACAAACGAGCAAAAAACATGTCTTCAGCACGCTGCCGGCCAGCCTCTGCAACGCTCCAAAAGGTTAATTTTCCGTGTCCCAAGATGGTCGTCCGGCAGCCGCAATCACGGAACAGGGAAGTGCAATTTAGCAATTGTCGTAGAGATCAGTAAAAAAATATGGAACGCATACCCTCCTAGCATCCATCAGGTAGGGATAAGAATTCTGTGCAGTCTATATGCCCATCAATGTCAACGCATGTAGCCATTTGCAGGCAGTTGCATCTTTTCGAAGATCAATCTGGCCTTCGTCAGGCACCAGCTTTCACTCTCAGCACACAGCCACTGTTGGTGGGCTTCGAGGCTGCTCGCATCTTCACCCTCCACAGGTGGGGCAGCCCCGGTCTGTAAATGTAGAATATGAATATGGCAGGTATTATTTGATAACACTTTATGTTTTGGCCGTGTAAAGAAAATCTGCCTTCCATTTTCTAACATATCTGTTATGAAATAACAAGATCAGGTGGAACGGCTCGAGTTCGCTGACTGAAAGACAGAGGGCTTAGCCTGAACCAATATCCTAGCAGCCTTCGATATTGGTGTGGGGGGAGAGAAGGCTGAACCTCTAAGATGTCTTCAAATGATTCTCTAATTTCTTAACTCCAAAGTTTCAGGCTGCTGCACTTCAACGTTCTGAACTTTTTCCAACATATATTTGCGCTGTCGCTAACCATGTTCCATTTGCCAATTTTTTACACGCCCCTTCTCCTCCAATCAGAACAGCACGAGAGTCCGCCGTGAACAGACTTGGCATCATCGTGTGTCATATATCCCCGATGATTGCCTTCCCCACTAAGATGCATTAAAGCCAAGGCTCGAGCACAAGCTCATAGCATCGCTAGATGGTCGCACTGCACGAACCCTCGTGCAGCCTGAGTATCTACTAGTACTGGTAAAAGCGAGCGAGTTGAAAATGAATACTTAAAATCGAAAGAATAAAGCGCGAGGGACAAGCAGAGGACAACCACGTAAAGCCTGGTTCAAACAGTTGCGTTTGACCGCGTTGCGGCTGCGAGAAACCAGGACATCCCTGCTGCTTATATCGCGTGCCAAGATGATTCTTTGAATTGGAATCCACGCTTCATACGAAGCACAGATGTGCCGGTGACTCGTTTTCGGTTCTAAACGCAACGCAGACAAACACATTCAAACGCAAGTGTCGGAACCGACCTTTACGGTACAGGCTCACAGTAAAGCTGCGAGCCCGAACCGTCTCGCACGTCTAGCCTTCGCTTTAGTACATCTCAGGATGAGACGGAATGTATCATAGTAGAACCGATGTGGTCTCACCTTTCTGAGCAGAAGTGCGTGAGTAACCGATGCTATTTTCGTGGTCGCTTGCACGTAAACAACCAAGGAGCTGTTACACCACGCCGGCATTCATCTGGCTTGAAAACAACTTGAGCGTTGGCTTGGCTTGGATGTCAGCTGCCCATTGTGCTTACTTGATCTTCACGAAATCCTCTAAATTGAGCAGGCTGCTTCTTGACT